CGGCAAGGCCAATACGACAGAACCCATACCGCGTAGCACCGAAAGAGCGTGAAGCAATCCAGGAACAAGTGAAGAAAATGCTCGATGATGACGTCATCCAGCCGTCAAGAAGTCCTTGGGCATCGCCGGTAGTGCTGGTTAAAAAGAAAGACGGAAGCTTGCGATTTTGTGTCGACTACCGCAAGCTGAACCGTGTGACAAAGAAAGACGTGTACCCATTACCGCGCATCGATGATTCACTCGACAGGCTGAGGTATGCACGCTACTTTTCGTCAATGGACCTCAAAAGTGGGTATTGGCAAATAGAGGTCGACGAGCGAGATAGAGAAAAAACGGCTTTTGTAACGGCTGACGGGCTTTATGAATTTAAAGTCTTGCCATTCAAATTGTGCTCAGCCCCCGCAACATTTCAGAGACTGATGGATACCGTTCTGTCAGGCCTTAAGTGGCAGACATGTCTGGTCTATCTGGACGACGTCATTGTTTTTTCAAAAACATTTGAGGAACACCTGAGCAGGCTGCTATCAGTATTTAGGGCAATAAGGTCTGCCGGCCTGACACTGAAACCCGAGAAGTGTCATTTTGGTTTCAAGGAGCTTAAATTTTTAGGCCATGTGGTGAGCCATGAAGGTGTTCGACCTGATCCCGATAAGATTGCGGACGTCAGAAAATTTCCGGTACCAAAAGACAAGAAAGCAGTCAGGCGTTTCCTTGGCCTATGCGCATACTACCGAAGGTTTATTGCCAATTTCTCCAACATAGCCTCGCCGTTAACACGACTCACAAGAGAAGACGTTTCGTTCACATGGGGCGACGATCAACAGGTGGCATTTGACGATCTCCGACAACGCCTGCAGACTCCGCCTGTGCTTGCTCACTTTGATGAGGATGCTCCTACCATGGTCCATACAGATGCCAGCAACGTGGGTTTAGGCGCTGTACTCGTCCAGTGGCAAGACTCAGCCGAGCGTGTGATCGCATATGCTAGTAGGACGCTTTCCCGCGCCGAGTCCAACTACTCCACAACGGAAAAAGAGTGTCTTGCTGTCGTATGGGCGGTTATGAAGTTTCGTCCGTACCTCTATGGCCGTTCCTTCCACGTAGTCAGCGACCATCATTCCCTCTGCTGGCTGACCAACTTGAAAGACCCGTCTGGTCGGCTCGCACGGTGGAGCTTACGCCTCCAAGAGTTTGATATGACGGTCGTGTATAAGTCCGGACGGCAGCACGCCGACGCCGATTGCTTATCAAGGTCACCGATAAAGCGCGAAGAGGACACAGAAGATGACAGTATGGCGTTTGTAGGAGTCGTTGACACCACTACGATTTTGTGCAAGCAGAAAGAAGACAGTGAGTTGCTTCCTCTTATTGAATTTTTGAATGGCCGGACAACAACCGTCCCTAGAAGATTTGCAAGGAGCCTGCCGTCATTCTGCTTACGTAGTGGTGTTCTCTATAAGAAGAACTTTTCTCCCAGAGGAAGTACCCACCTACTTGTCGTTCCGACGTCACTTCGTGAGGAGATACTTTGTGCTTGCCACGATGAGCCAACGTCTGGTCATCTCGGATACACACGCACATTGGCCAGAATCCAACAGAAATACTACTGGCCAAGACTTCCAGCTATTGTGAAGCATTACGTGCGCACGTGCCTCGATTGCCAACGACGAAAATCGCCACCGTTAAAACCAGCTGGGCTATTACAACCAATTCAAGTGCCCACGGCACCTTTTGCCCAAATTGGAATGGATCTCCTTGGACCATATCCGACTTCCCATGCTGGCAACAAGTGGGTAATAGTCGCCACTGATTATCTTACGCGCTATGCCGAAACAAAGGCTTTGTCAAGTGGCACCGCCGTTGAAACCGCACGATTCTTCGTAGAAAATATCGTCCTGAGGCACGGTGCTCCAACAATCATAATAACGGATCGAGGTGCCGCTTTCACGGCCACGCTCCTGAAGACAGTGCTTGAGCTCAGTGGAACCGCCCATCGGAAAACCACTTCCTATCATCCACAAACCAACGGCTTAACAGAACGCCTCAACAAGACTATTGCCGACATGTTGAGTATGTACGTTGACGTGGATCACAAGAACTGGGACGACATTCTACCGTACATCACGTTCGCCTATAATACAGCGCAGCAAGAAACTACACGAAGAACGCCGTTCAGTCTCCTTCATGGCCGTAAAGTGACGACGATGCTTGACGCCATGTTACTGCACGACTGCAATGACATCGATTTGGACGCTGCATCTTTTACCCAACGAGCAGAAGAAGCGAGGCAGCTTGCGCGTGTCCGAATCACCCAGCAGCAAAATTATGACGCCCAACGTTATAATCTGCGACACCGACATGTCGTCTATCGGGCCGGCGACAAAGTTTGGGTATGGAGTCCTATCCGCCGCCGGGGACTGTCTGAAAAATTGCTGAAGAAGTATTTTGGCCCCTACACAGTTTTACAACGCCTGAGTGACGTTAATTACGTGGTCGTTCCTGACAACCCCTCGACAACTCGCCAGCAAAAACCAGAAATCGTGCATGTTGTGCGAATGAAGCCCTACTTTTCGGAGCGGTTGACTGGGCTAGTTGGTATGGCATACTTGGGTTTTAGCAGCGCGAAAAATGCACGAAAGACTAGAAATGTAACGTAATAGAGCGGTTGACTGGGCTAGTTGGTATGGCATACTTGGGTTTTAGCAGCGCGAAAAATGCTTTCGTGCATTTTTCGCGCTGCTAAAACCCAAGTAAGCCTACTTTTCGGACTGACTTACACCATACATCTACTACACCGTCTTTTGTAGAAGAGCATCGGGACGCTGCTCTCTGGAGGGGGGCAAATGCCACATTGAATATGCAGCGCGAAGAGGACAACGAAGAACACGCGCAGCGAGTGAAGAAGACGAGGTTCTCTCCCGATCAGTTTGCCAGTATTCTAATACAATTAAAGTGAGTTTCCTGGATTCGACTGCTGCTGTTTCTGCATTGTGACAATATTAGTGCAATTTTTATTTGAGCACTCACATTAGAGCGAACATTACAGCAACATGACACGGCTATCCCGATCAATTTCTCATAGCAGCTGCTATACTAAAAAATTGTCGCGTTTCAATCCGTTCGTACCAGGGAGCTATTCTCACGGTGCCCACTTAGTGGGCACGTTCCCTTCGGCTTCCAATGATTGGCTGGAGCTTGGCGAGCTGCGCACTTTCTGTTTCCGGTCGTTCTTCCCCAACACCATTTTGACGCCACGCAGCTTTCACAACTCTCGACATAAATGAGAAAGACGTTATGCATTTTGCTAATAAAGAATGCTGCCCCCAGAGATCTGCTTTTGGATGCACATCTAGAAATACGTGCATGAATTCTAACCCTTGAATTATGTTTAACACGGCCATCTACCTGATGCACTTGGAAGGTCAGTACATATTCCCTGCATCATTTTTCAAACATCTAAACACATTCATACTCAAGCTTGTCAAGTTTGTTTGGGCTATGGTTTAGTTAACTTTTTCACAGCAAGTTCACATGTCTCCATTACCTAATCTCACCTTATGACTGTGAGTTCTAAGGCAACCCTAATAATTCATAACTTCAGGGGTTTCATGAGCTAAAACTATGATATAATTTTGAGGCATGCTGTAGTGGGGGACACTGAATTGACTTCGTCCGCGTGAAGTTCTTCACCACGTACCAAAATATCAGCACACGTGTTCTTTGCACTTCACCACCACGTTCACTATGGCCAAAATCGAACCTGCATTCTCAAGCTTAGCAGCACGACGCCTTGCATACTAAGCTACCACGGCGAATTATAAAGCAACAAGACCTCACTTCCAACAGTAAGGCGCTTCTCTTTGAATTATCATAAAATGCCAGAATCGCACACATGCAGACCAACCGTAGAGCATCATTGATCATGACGCGTAACTTCAGCTCTTAATCCAGGGTGGAGTGGCAATCCTGCAGCTGCAAGTACCCCGAGATGCAAAATATAAAGAAAAAAAAAAGTAGGCAAGGCTTGACAACGTCAACATGATGTGCTCTCTATCCTATGGCGCTTTATAAGATGCAATGGATCTTCACCACTTGAGGATGTCAGACTAAAACTGTAAGCTTCAGCAGTGAACCTTGTCTCTTCAAGGTATGATAATAGGATAGTTACATTCCTTCTAACATGTCCAATGATCAACAGCATTAAACAATTGTCCTGGTATAATCCTCCAAGATGACGCCTTTCAATTCCTATTAATTAACAAAAAAAAATATGTAACAAGGCCTGGTGAGGGGCCTTTCATGTGGAGATCTCCCACCAAACCACACACTGTTCTTTTGATGTGGTCTCACATTTTAAAAGAAAGCAGTGCAAACTTTACAATTTTGCACTTTCACTTAAACGTTTTCTTTAACACTCCCTCAAACAAATTTTGATAAGTGACAATGTGAGAGATAAGAATGCATGGCTTTAATAACCTTTAAGAAACATTGCTGTCAAAGGATTTGAAATTTAAAACAATATCCACCTAAGTTGGCCCGTATCTCTCTAAATTCTGCATGGAAGCAAATGATCTATTACCCCTAAATCAATATCACAAAGTGACAAACTGTGTTTGACCCTGAGCAATGAGAACTCAGTCTTCGCGTTGACTCTAGTTACCCGCGAGATAGTACAGAGAGAAAAAGATGGCAAAAATGCACATCTGTGAGACAATTTTGAAAAAATAACAATCACTAAGTGTGCCAAATAGCTTGCCATGCACAGTACTCAAACAAGAAATATAAGTCAGTCACAAACATAGCTGTGCAAATGCGTGAACAATGAGCAATACTTTGAAGCAAATGGAAGAAAGTAAATATGCCAGTCAACTTGCAACACCATTTAAATACTTGCTTGCTTCATTCCTTCTTCAATGCCTCTGAGGTATTTATGCATTTTGTTTTGAAAGGCATGTTTTTTAAAGCATGTTTCCAAGCTGTAATGCACATATCGGGCTCACCTCAGTGGCACTGCTGTCTAGAGAGAGGGGGGCCACGTTTTTTGGCTGCCGCTTCTTGGATGTACTAGATGTTGATTTTTTGTTCTTCGGACTTGAATCTGCAAATTCAACACAGACAATATATTTTGACAGCAAGACACTCAGCTACACAGTTGTATTTGTCATTAACGCAGCCATCCATACAAATTATGATTACTTATTCAAGTGACAGGCTACATAACTTCACCTGTCTTAGCGCCAAAGTATAGCTTGTTGTTGGTCTCACTTGGATGCAATAACCTTAAAGTGTTTGAGAAATCATTTGACGCCTTACTCCTGCACCCAGCCTATACACATTGATACATGTTGTCAGCTGCAAACCATTTTTTATGGCAAATGATTTCTCATCACCATTCATATGCAATACCGCTGAAACAGGGTTTTGGAAGTATTTTTGAAAAAAGAAATCCCACAATATTTCGCACTCTTTTCTCAAGAAAGCATTTTCACAACATTGCCCAAACTTCAGTTCTCGTACGAGCTTAGTGGTTTAGAGCACCAGCTCAGGCACATTTAGTGGTATTTATGCAGTTTCAGAGCACGAAGTCACAAATCTAGCACTTTGTAATGATTGGCCCAACTGTACCTATTATAAGTACTGTACATTTAGGCACGATCTGTATGAGCTGTTCCCTGGTTTTCCTCAACCCAATGCATATTATACAGTGTTTTTTTTTTTAATACAGATTCCAGATAAAAAATATAACAGTATTGCTACTGTAGTTTTCGCACACTAACTCTATATCAAGGCAGAATTGATTTGCCGCACTTACAATGATACTCGTGTGACTACTTAAAAAAACTCATTACCTTTTCAATTATTGACTTGAGGGCTGTTGTTTATACTAGAAAGTTGTAGCCCGTGCCAGTTTATTGCATATCCATTTTTTAGAAATCACTAATTCTGCACGTATTTTAAGATACTAATTGTCAAATTTTAAGGCCAAGATTGATAATGATCGTGCCTGATACCAAATTCTCTTGAAAAAGCTGTGCTACTGCATTCCCTCTTTCAATTTCAATGTAGGAACAGACATGGTGTGACACTGCATTCTGCCTGAAGCTTATGCAAAAAATATGCTTCTGTGGTATTCGACAAAAAAAGTAAAACAGACTGAGATGGTTATAAAAAAAAAACAAGAATGGACATATCTCAAAAATTTTCCATTCTTTATATCACATCTGAAATTTATACCAAAGCACAGTGCGATAACAAGCACACACATTAACAGATTTACTCATAAAAAAGTCATGCAAAAAATTATTATATGTCCTGTGTTAGTTATGAAAATCAGCTAATTACGCTGCTCACAAGCCCTTTTCAAACAAACATCAACATATGGGAGACAACTTTGCAATACACTACTACCGATGAAAATTTAGGGCTACGTAATGCACATATTTTCATTCACAGCATGCACACTACACATCATATTGGTGTAACTTTTACTTGAGCACATACAGATGTGTCCACTGTTAAAGGGAACACCTGCGTTCACAGCATGCCTAGATTTCTCTACTTTACAGAAGCATACTAGCTACTCTGAGTTGCATAAGACTACTGGTCGTTGAGAGTTCCGACTACCCTTGACAGATTAGTCGTGTGCATGAAGATTGTTTCCTAGTCAACTTGCTGTTAGAGGGCCAGAAATAGAAAAGGGAATGCTCATTCGAGCATTCTTTTTAACAGTGAACCATACTGTACATCAGAGCAAGCATTATATAAAGGCATCCAGATTTGCAGCAACATGACGCGGTTATCCCAAGAAACCTGTATCTAAACTATCTGATGCTTTCATGTGACGCACAAACTACCATTCGTACTTACAACAGTACAAGGCAAACTATGAAATGTGCCTATATTATCGAATTGGTAACCTAAGCTACTAAAGCAGTGTAGCAGCTACACCAAACAATTTCTTCCAGTGCTCTCCAGATTGGAAATGAGAGCACAACATTTACTTAGTTGAGTAGGGTTTTAATGGTGCAAAATCAACTTGGGCTATTCAAGGCTCCCTGAAGCAATTGAAGGTTTCCTGGACGCCGCCATAGTCTTTTCTAGGCTGTTGTTAACATGCATTGATTGATATGTGGGGTTTAACGTCCCAAAACCACCATATGATTATGAGAGACACCGTAGTGGAGGGCTCCGGAAATTTCGACCACCTGGGGTTCTTTAACGTGCACCCAAATCTGTGTTGTTAACATGCATTATCCCCCCACAAGAATGCACTGCCGTGGCTGTGACGTCGGCTTTTGTGCTCCAGTGCAGCAGACCCTCCTCTCAGTTAAAAAGGTTGATAGAGAACAGTCTTTTGTTTCAATATCACAAGCAATTCATGCTTGCTGTTTAACTGTTGCTTGTAAGAAAAGATAAGGCATATTACATGCAACATCAATGACCATACTTACCACTCAAACCCAACATGTCCAGCTCCTCGGATATGGAGGCTGAAGAAGTATTTCTGTCTGACCCACCAACATTGTTATCATCTTGCCGAGACATGGTCTCAGTCCTTTGAGTTTCCTTTGCATTGTCTTCGGTTGGTGGTGAACAACTGTCTTCAGCTGAGCTCTGTGGGGATGTTTTGTCAATGGATTCAAAGCCAGCATCTGTGGGCTGTGAGGCTGTGGATGAGGAGGATGATGCCTGTGTCTTAAGGTTGGCACCTTTGTCACTTGGAACCGATACCTGCCAATCGGGTTTTTGGCAGGCTAAGGCAGCCGCTAATGCAGATGCAGCTACAACAGTGCTAGCTGTGAGCCGCTGCACCATATCTTCCCCATGAACCTCAAGCAAGGATGGGGCACGCACCTATTTGTAAGGAAGCAAGGCATGTATCAAATGTAATAAAATAATTTTTTTTATAAGATGTTTGATTTGGCTGCTACACTGCCTTCTTATACCAGAATCCTACTGTACAACACTATAGAGGTTTCATAAACTCATCCTCTCAGCCATCACGTTTTTAACTAACCTCACAATTATAAATAGTGCTCCCAAAGAAGCCAACAGATTAACTTTCTTTGGCAATTTTAACATACTAGTTGGCACAATTTTTTTTTACAGTCATGGGCAGTAATATTGGTTTGCACACTGTTTGCTGCACTGCAAAATGTTAAAATGAACACAAGAAGGTTATGTTGCACATATAATCACATGTAAGGCAGATGTGTTAGATGTCCAAATAACTGATGGCCCTGTAAATCATAAGCAATAACTTTAATTTATTCAGACCAATGGAGAAATACAATTACTGAAACATATTACTAGATACAGATATTACCACGCTGTGTTTCTTGAAGGCTAAACGTGTGATAACAAAGTATTGAGTATTGCTTTTAATTTGCACAAACATGGTGGGACTGTGAGACTGGTAAAATAGTCTACAGAAGCTGATATTTAGGCTACAAGAAAGTCATTCCTACCAAACAAATGAAAGCTTTTGAGTGGTAGTTATATGCCCAATGCATTTATTATGAAATCATTCCCCTCGATAATGATCACACGTATTGACCACCACATATACCATCAATTGCCCATTGCCAATATTGTGATGCTGGTGGTGCTATCTGCAGCTCGATGCCACAAAAAATTGCTGCAGTTGAATCCTAGGAGCTTTCACTAGTAGATGATAACTGCTATCTTGGGGCCATAATACAGGGCTGTACTTCCCCTCTTATGTATTAGGCACTGTCTCGCCCTCTGTTATTACCACGACATCTAGAGATATCTCTACACCAGTGAGTCAGCCAGACTGAAATGACACCCTTTTTTGCATACTGAGAAGTGAAGACTAGCCGTGTGCTCCACTTTTAGCCTTGGGCAAGCTAGTCTCAATGCTTCCAAATGAAGGGCAAAACCAGAGTCTGTAAGCTTAAAGTATCACACAAGTGTGATCACTCACACGGACACTAAACCCACACTGACTAATTCTTGCAAGTCTAAAAGCATAAATGAATTGCTCCACACTATGGCAGGCTCGAAAGGTGCATTGTAAACATACCAAATTAATTTAGAAAAACTCCAACAAAGCCAGTCACATTAACAAGTAGGATTCTGCAAGTGCTAAAATGAAAGCCCCCAAGGAGCGAATGCTACATACCTGTGCTAAGTGCCGTGCCGTTTCTGCTGATGCTTGAAGGGCCTTTGCTTGAGCCTCGAGTAACACCCAAGCTTTGTCATTGTTAAAACCTCCTTGCTTAAGTCCACTTCTCTCCAAACCAGTCAAAGACCTGCTGGATACTCTAGAGGCAGTCACAGGCAAAAGAGAAGTCTCTGCATTTTCACTAGGCTGCTGTTGCTCAAGATCTTGCCTGGGAGACTTTTTTGGGGCTTTCCTGAGATTCACAAGCGACTTCGTAGAGGGACGAGAGTCTATTTCCATGCTCACCGATTTAACAGGCAGCATACTTATCCTGAAATTGAAGAAACAGAGGCAATTTGAGAAGGTCCAAACAAGTCCACCTACCCGCATGCTTTTGTAGGTCTACACTATTTAGTTTTAATCCAGTTTTAGTTATAGTTCTGATGCATCTGTATTTTTTATGCATCTGATTTTTTTATTTACTTTTCATTTAAGAAATGCTGCTCGAAAAATGAAAGCTTTATCAAATATTACATATTTTTAAATTTTTATTTGCTTTCACAAGTTGAGTTTCTCTATTTTCATGACAAAAAGAATCAAGGCTGTAATTGAACTCAAAGTAGATTAAAATCGCTTTTAAAACGCACAAAGTGGCTATTGAAAACTATAAAAAGATGATTGTCTAGAGTGGTCTGGAAATCGTCACCAGGTTGCTTGGAATTGCATTTTGCATGAGGAGTTCACCAAAGCCACAAGTTCAAAATAATCACGATTCCCAAGCTCCCGTGATGGAAGAAATCATTTTAAAAAGCATTTGTTTGACACATACATGAGCTTTCAGTTATACATTTGAAATGTATTGTTCTCAAGATGCAGTTGTGGAAAGCTCCTTGAAACTGGAAACCACGCTTTCAGCACTTGTGGTGGCCAGATCGGGCAAAACTTTTCCCGACATATTAACATGGGTGCAATTACCTCCATTAAAACTTCATATCACTCACATAATAGTTATAAACCTAAAGTAACCAATTAGTATGGGTTGAGCATTTCAAGACTTCTCACATTACAATTTTTCTTGTTCATTAAACTGTCTTATACACACTCTCTGGTTAGTTATTACATTTACAGTTATTGTGAAGCAATATGAGCCATTAATGGTTCATAACCACAGAAGTACAAAAACAGTATATCCAAAAAGAGCTATCACGCTATCATCGTACAAAATGAAAACTATGCCACTTACAATAAAACTGATAAGTACATATTTGAAATCAGCATACAAGCTTATGTAAACAGCAAGAACCTAGACTAGATTAAAGAATTTTTTTTTTTTTTTCGAACAGCATTTTCCCATAAAGCATTGATAAGCACCAAAAACAAACCAAACCACCACATCTGTTACAAAACTCAAAATATCTCAAAACAGCAATATGCTAATATTTATTTTTATGATAAAAAATACAGCAGGGTTCCCCTTTACAGAATGTTTACATAAACAAAAAAAAGGATATTTTCCAACTGGAAGAGAAGTACATGAGACAATTAATTCACAGTTCTTTTTACCAGAAAACCATGTCTTATTTGAATTGTATTGAGCTCTTAAAATTCAATATAAGAAAATTCCAAGCAAAGTTTAATTATGGGTTAGTTGGTATATAGCTACTGAAGTTAGCGCTGCTACAGGCAAAAAAAGTAGAGACAAATATGCTTTATCCTTTGATTTAGTGTAAGTGCCTCTGAACTTTACTGAAAGTTTTTCAATCATACCAGTAGTGAAAGTCCCCCATAAGCCCAACTTGTCAAAATCTAAACTCGCCATTCACATCATCTGTTGACCAAAAAATTAACTAATGAATTTTTGTGACGATATCAGCACTGTGCATGGCGTTGAGCAGCTTGCAAAAAGCGCACATGCAGGGCAGTGCAGCAGTGACCCAGTGTTTTACATAGATGCTCTCAAATGGTGCCACAATCTGCAGGCTCCCACAGAATCAACTGGGGGCAGGCCCAGGTTTTGAAACGCAGTTTCCCATCTGGTGTGATTAAAGAGCTCTGGTCTTTACTCGCATGTGAGGTATGTTGGCTACTGCCTTAGGAAGGGTGTAGTGGCTCAGCACGTTCTTGAGCTGATCAGTCTAGTGCAGCTAAGTATGTCAGATGATCATTTTTGTAACAAAGTACTGTCAGAAGTAATTCAACATTCAAGATTGCAAGTGTTTTGCAAGTGGAGACAGCTGTTTTGCGCCATTAAAATCAATGCTTGGTTTTGCTCAAGACAGCAAAAAACTCAGATTGCAGGTAATACATCCCATTTTTGTTTTTGCTAGCAACAGCACGTAAAAAAGGTCGTCATTGCTGTGTTTACCTTTCGACAAGTCAACGTACACAATGTTCACCAAAACAATGAACAACTGCTTCATAAACAGCCCGTCCGTTTGAAATGTTCTCTTTGGATGAAGAGTTGAATGCATGTACAAATGAATAGTTGAAGTGCATCTAGTTATCAAGCAAGGCAACTACTACTTAGGAATGAGATATACTATTTCTGTATGGAGGTACAGTTTGCATTTTCCGGTGTGCACTGTCTCCCCTCAAGTATAACCATGGGCAAATATAGATAGCATCAGTGTCATAACCACTCAGCCCAAGGTATCGATGGCAAGCTAATTTAGCAGAACAGGTGCGATAGCTAGGCTTACATTGATTACCGCAGTTCATTGAACCTGCATTTCTTTCGGCCTTATGCGAGATATAAAGCCACTATGAAGTGGACTTCATAGAAGCAGCATCAAGTTATGGTTGCAGACTCTAGGGTTCACCAAAATTATTCTTTTTTTAATACCAATGAAATTAGATTTTCATTAGACTGCCCAGTCCTTTGAAAATTTTTGCTACCTTTCTGTGCAAAGCACTCATCGATGGCTATATATTTTGCCCAAAATCTTGAATTTCAATATATAACCAAGTTTACACGTAGTTAACTAAATAGCCAATTTTACTGACTTTATTACATCAATGTCTACCAAATTTTTCTGCCTTTGGTAGAGGCCTGCCACTGCTGCGAGTTTATTTCTTTAGAGTAGTTTCTTCCTGTGGTAACACAGTTCGAAAGTTACGTGGTTGCAGAGTTGATGTGCTGCGTAACATGCTTACGTAAATGCATGCTTGTTGTCGTGGCATGTTACTAATGCTGTAATTATTATGTTTGTATGGCAGTGGAGAATACCTGCAGCTCGAACCGGGTAACTTGTTGGAGAACTGCACCAAGAAAATGAGGCATTAAAGAAGAAACAAACAATTGACATGCCAGCTACAGTTGAGTGGTGCACTCTGAAGAGATGGACATGAATGTCTGGCTAGCTTACTCTTTCTGGCCAATGAGCAAGGTATGTAAAAGGCTGCTTCTATCAAATCATTGCCTTGGTTTCATTCTAAAAGATCAGTCATGCTTCAACTTTTATGCCATGACAGCACAAAAGCTGCATGTAAGCAGCAATAAGTATGCCACCTGCAGACTTCCCAATCCATTTTACAATACAGTCGAACACTCTTATAAGATATATGCACCGGGCAGCAATGCTTGTCTTTTATATGAGGTGTCTCTTATAACCTGGGTACCATGTATGTGTTTTCTTATCAAAACCTTTTTCAATCTAGGCACATTGGTGCCTCTTTTACAGTTAACCCTGCTTATAACGGAGCTCTATAAAACAAATTCCTCCATATAACAAAATTTTTCTATTCTCAGTCATTACTCCATAAAAACACATGTATTTGCAACCTCTATGTAACAAAGTAACAGCGGCAGACATCCTTGATATAACGAATTTTGGCCACGAGTAATCTAGAAATTTTGTGGCGGATTTTGTCGTTATGACACAAGCACGCATTTTTTGAGGTTGCCATGCTGACAATGAAGTGCGAAGCAAAGGCGGCACGCACAGCACACTCTTGGCCCCGGCAACTCACAGGCGAGAGCAAGCGCTAATTATTGTGCGCGGTGTTAGGTACGGCACTTAGGCCGAAAAGGGTGGCGAAATTCCAGGTACTGCGAACGAGTCGCTGAGCGGCTCCTTACCTGCGGAAAGCCGTTCCAGCCCGATCATTGTCAGTCCAAGCCACCAAGCAAAGTGCCCTACAGTCCGGCGTTGCAATCGACTACAACAGGTTTTGGTCGCAACAAAACTTTCCTCGAAAGAGCAGCGGCATCGCTCTGGTCGCTTTGATGCTTTGGCCAGAGCGTGAGACCAGTTGCCCCAATGACCTTGCCATTCCAGCCAGGGGACACCGTGGTGCCACAGTAGAAGTGTTGTGACTCCACCCCCAGTCAAGGACGCTGACGAGGGCAAGTGCGTGTGGTCTCGTCGAAAGCGGTGTATGTCTTGGGATCGGACCGTATAATTTGGTGCCTTTTCCCTGATCCACGGATCGAGAAAACGAGACTGTATAAAATCAGCCCTCGCAGGCTGGTTTGTGTGGTTTTTATGCTGGTGCTTTTCGATACAGTGCTTTTGATGCTGATGCCTTTTCGATGTAGAGCCTTCGACGAGTTCGTCACGATGTGGGACGACATCTTCGTCAAGATGTTCATCGTGTGGCGAGAAACGCTCGCTTGTAAATAATGTAAAATAGACCTCTGTGATCTCCTGAAGTATGCGCCTTCCTCCCTGCATGATGGGCTGAACGGGTCCGGTGGTGGCGGCCAGCTACCCACGACGAGACCCGCCGGACCAGAGCCGCAACGACTGGCAGCACACGTGGAATGCTATCAGACCCCGGTCTTAATAACTGGTGGCAGCGGTGGGATGCTGTCAGAACCCAGTCCTAACAGCGGGTGGGCGTGAGGCGGGCAGGCGGGCCTCTGTCCCACGAGCTGACGTTGCTGCCGTTTTGCCACCGCAGGCGCATGTGCAGATGCACCCCTCCCTCCTTTCAAACCAAAAACCAAGAACTAAACTACTTTCGCGTTGGCAGTGCCACACTTTCAGTTAGCCTCACATACGTGGGGCCACGCCGATAATGGAGGGTGCTTTACGGAATATTTTTCCGCAGTATCTGTGTCGTTCGCACTTCGTTTTCGTCGCTGTGCGCTCGTGCATGGTTCCACTGCGCACGCATGGTTTGGCACCCGAAGACGTTCAGCCTTGCCTTCTTTCTTTTTTAAATGTGAACAACTGTATCGCCACTACTGAGGGGACGTCAGATTAGGCACTAATGAAAACTGTCTGATACCACGGTGAAAATGACGAATCTTCGGAGGTCTCCTCGTCGCGCGCTTCAGTCTTGTGCTGGGCCACGAGTTCGTGGAATCGCAGCTTTCGCGATTAGTTCTAGCAACAACACGACGCTGCATTGAATGCAATGCAATAAATGTGATAGGAAGAAATTGTAATGTTATACCATGAAATACTGGCAGCCAACTCTTTTTGATCTGACATCGCGAAACTCCTACAAAATGTTGGTGTAAGCAAATACGGCCACTCCAGGGAGAAGTACTCTTTTCACACAGTCTCTTTGTATTGAAAGCACACTGATGCTTGCCAAGGTGGCATGCGTGCCAGTAATCGTGACCGCACCCTTAAAATCAAAGTTCACCCCTCACTTGAGCGCCCCCCCCCCCCCCGCGTTTTTTCAGGGTTGTTAGATGTTATCGTATGCGCACTCCAGGCGATAGAGAAGGGCTGGCTCATTTGATCCCTGCTTTGACAGCACTCACACCCTTTCACCAGCTCTTGAAGTTATGATGAGCGAGGGCATGTTATCAATTTGTACTTGTTACAAGACATGGCGGGGACGGCAAAAACCCACCGAGAGTGTCCATATAATTGCTATCACAATAATCATATATTCTTTACCTCCAAATAAGTGTTTCGTGATAGCTTTGCCTTCAGTTCCCCTTTTGTTGAATTTGTGTGTTTATTTTTAGATTTTTCATAATAAATCTGCACATAACTAAATCCTTTTTATAAAGAAATTTTGCGGCAATTGGTCAATTTCGTTATATCCAGGTTTAACTGTACTCATTTGTCCCTTACATCCGCAAGCATGCTCAGGGTTCCCCTTTAGGATGGGGCGAAGGTTCATGCAGCGTCCCCCCTACCTATTAGGTCAATATATTGGCGAAACTTTGCACCCTTCCTCTTAGGTGGCTGGGCAGGGGGAGAGGGCGGCTGTACCTTTCTGCCCTCCCATGCGCACGCCTATGCTCAAGTCAGTGTCTCTCATATAGAGATGTTTGACTATATTTCTTATAGCCTGTATTGTAAAATCTCAGTTTAGCACACCCTAATGTTTGCACTGTATGCATATTAAGATATGCCCATGAATGCAAACAAAAAAAAAAGAGTTTCCTGTGAAAACATGCTTTGCGCAAATGTTATACGTGAGATACAGACGATACCCTAGCGGGGCAACTTTAGAGCAAGTTTAGCAACCTCTAGTTTTCTTTGAATCACATACAAGATATGTCAAGCAAATCCCCATGTATTAGCACTAGCAAACAATCCAATATCTGGTTTTAAATGTGTAAGCATTTCTATGCCAATGAGAAAACTGTGTTCATTCGTGTATCACTTTGTCACACAAGACGAATAACTATGAAGGGTTGTTCACCACAAAAGAAACAGTAAGTACAAAACAAAGTTAATTTTCATGGCAATGCTGGGTTTCGAACTGAGGGCCTCAAGCTTAATAGCTGTGTGTCTTATGGACTGGGCTCTACACCCATGCTTGCAAGACATAATGAATATAAACATCTTAATCATAATATTGTGACAGACTACTACTTCTTTTCTCACGCACGACCACTTGGAACATGAACTGGCAGTGGTTAGTCTGCTTAAAGGAGGACATGGCTTGAATAATGGCATGGATGTATTAATAAACCACTCTATGTTTACTAAACCATGCTGAGTGCTAAACCATGCAGAGTGCTACAGTTACACAGTGCGACCAGGGTTAAGGCCCTCTAGATTCTCACGCTGATCCATGGAAGGCCGCGTTCATAGTCTGGGTCGCCCGTAACTGTAGCACTCTGGAGCATGGTTCAGAAGACACACTGGTTTACAAATACACGTGTGCCATTGTTTGAAATACGTCATCCTTACTTAAAAGCAGGCCACTGACTACCAGTTCATATACCAAGTGATGATCAGAAGAAGAAGAAAAGGCTGCCATAATATGAAAGCAATGTACTGGACAAACAAACAAAATAAATGTAAAAAAACACTTCCTGAGAAGGATTTGTTCAAACACTTTGTTGCAGTAGAATAAAAGCCCTTTCTAGGACATGTAAGGCTGACATCGGGCATCCTACTTGTATAAAAAATTTATTACCAAATACACATTTCATTGACTGCAAACCTTCAAGGGCCAGTCAACAGGCACCGAAACGCGCAGGAAAAGCTCGCGCATTTTTCCTACGCGTGACCAACCTTCTTCCATGCGCAGTGACGTCAACTCGGCTATCAGCGACGTGACGCAGCACGTCCATTGGTCTAAACCAGGTCTCAACAAAGAGTAATGAAGTACATGTCGCGATCACCAAGTTGAAAAAAAAAAAAAATGAGAGCAATCGGTTGGATAGTTTTCCAGAAAAGGTACATCATGTTTGAAAATTTTCCAGAATATTGATTGTAAGCAAAAGCGCAATTTTATGCTTAAAACACGCACAGAATGTTCTGGCAATGCAAGCAATAATTAACACTAGAAAAGCATCCTGGTGAGAAATTTTGTGATAAAAAAGCTTGAAAATGATAGGAAGTAACCGAATGATAGGATTCAACCAATCAAGCCAAAGTTACTTTTTAAACAATACATACATGCACTATTAATGATAAAAAAAAAAGCCCGTCGATCTGTTAGAAGGGGCACAGTCTTTGGCGCCAATTTTAAACCCCTTGGAGCTCTTTAGGCACTCACCAAAGCATGACTTTGCTCCTCAGAGCTTGTCGTTTTTTTAGTAATTAAATCGAAACCTAGCTTGTTTGGCCGATCTATCCTACCATACCCCCTTAAAGAATTATAACCATAACCACAGGTCAAGCACTCCTTAAGCTAATATAATTAGGTGAACCATACTGAAATATTCAAGCCTTGGCCAATCCCACTTAATTTTTTGTCAAGAAAAAAACTATGCATTTTCATGGCTGAACTTTTTATGTCTAAATGCAACTATTAAATGCACATTTTGAAAGTATATTTTGGTGAATAAGCACTAATTAAAATATACATATTAAAACGTAACAAACAAGAACAAGTAACTAACAAGTGCCAGTTATATAGTGTGACTAGATGACATTGATTTTCTGGTCATGTCCAATGTGTGAAAAGATTGCCTTGAATTTCTGAGCAATGTGAGAATCAAGCAAAACTGCTTTCTCCTGCTTTCTTTCCAAGTGCACATGGTTTTACATGTTTACACCATTGTGCAGCCCAAATTCATTTAACTGAATTTTTGAGCTAGTGTGCACTTTAAAAATCCTCACCATGTGATCAAAATATCAACTGTGCAAGAACAGTTACTACTCTTGGTGCCCAATTGCCAAGACAGCACTACAAGTTGAGGAGCGCAGCAGTTTATTTGCAAATTGCCCTTTCAAAAACGTTCACTCGGGATCAATCCATAGTAAAGTTGCAAGCAAATAGTTACGCGGAGACAACAGGTGCCAAATTTGTACTGAAAGAATCTGCACATCCTGCATTTGTTTGTTTTCGTGGCTAACTACCATTCTGCCTCCACAACATAGTGGAATTGGAACCAAAAATTTTTGGCAAAATAAAAATGGCAGGAGCACAAATGATTTCTGCAGCATGAAAATTGTTTTTAGGCAATAGGTGAACAGAGCCATCGCATTCTTACTTTTCCGTTGCAGCTCTAGATTTCGAATGTGACTTTGTGACCGATGCATAGCCTGTGACCATGCTGCTGTGTCGAGTAGGGTCTTCCTCAAGTAATGATGTTAAGGCCTCAGCTGATGTGCCCTTAGATGTTGACACATTTTCTCGTTGTAAGCCAGAGTCTACAGACAAAAGAGCACAAAACTAATATTAGGTCATATTTTAATTCATGAGATCTACAGACTGAAACAAACAAATGTTTTAATAACCAGCGACCACAACCCCTGTACAAACCTTCTCAATTTTTCTTAATATTCTACACTCACGTGAAAAGCAGTGCTAAGTTTCAGCTTAAGGACAGGAATTATGCAGATGGCAAAAATTTTCAATTAAGCACTCGAACAATAGCAAATTGATGATGCCATGTCAAGCATTGTTGATAATGTATAATGTCCGATACTATATACAAGTTTTCTACTGCAGTGAATTTTCGTAATCTTTTTTTTGCATGCTGTGCTCAATTGCTGCATGCATGGTACCAGTTGTTAAACAAAATTTATGAACCAAGCAGCAGAGTGCACTTACACTTTCACCCTTTCCTAACTCAGTCCATATTAATTGTATTCTTAACTTGGAGGAATCTGGTAATTTCATATGCCACCAAATTTTTTTTATCAGTAGCTTTTGAAAAGCCAGCACTCGGTCATGCAATATGCATGGACATGCAATGCAAGCCAGCACTGAACATGCAATAAAAATGACATTGTTTAATACAATAAAATTTAGCATATAACAAATTTAAAAAATGAAATATAGAGAGATATTATTATTTCAGTGTTGTTAAGCATGTCTTGTTTTACATGTCTGACGTATGCATGTGCTGCTTCTACTACTAACATGGTGAAGATAACCAACTTCTAAATACTAACCCGTATGTTTGGTACTAACATGTACGTTTCAAATTAGGCTTACATGAATAGATGATTTTTTTTATAAATAAACATAAAATTTGGCAATCACTAATATCAAAAATTCAGTATGTGACACATGAATTTCAGACTAATAGGCGTGTAATGCTATTTATTTAGAATGATCAAGTTTCGATGCTGTCTACAAAGCACACATAACCAATATACAGTGTAGAACATTTATAACGTAACCGTTTAGAATGTTGGACTAGTTACAACGCGGCATTTTTCGACTCCCGTTTACCCTCCCATAGAACCCTAAGTATACGCATACTGCTTATTGTGCAGTCCCCCCCAAAAAAAGACCGGTTATATTGCAACTGCCGGAAAATGTTTGTGACAAACGTGGTAAAGAACTTGCGTCTGAAAGGAGATGCGCTGGGTGTGCCGCTGAGAAGCGAGCGACGAGGTCGTTGCAGAGGGGAGACGGAGTGAACGAACAAAGGGAGGAGAGAAGAAAAGGAAAAAAGACCCTGACACGCTGCGCGGGCTTGCCGCCTTTGCGCTGGCGCCGGCACGGCTACGGTGTCCGCGTCACTAGTGTTGCTCCGGACGCGCGGGGCTCAACAGGGCACGTGCGATCCCGTCCTTATCCTAACAGTTTCCTGTCAGGAAAAGTGTCGTTGTTATTGAGCTTGTTACTGATATCGCGTTTGCTACCCCGTCCGTAAACTTTAAAACTTTTTACGGCTTTATGACGCGAGCTTTCGCCTTTGCAGCTAGCGAGCGGTCTTGCGTAAGCTTGGCGGGTTTTTGCCGTTGTTATCTCCCGGCCGCAAATGCCAACTTCGTATCACGCACGCTATTCTTAGTTCAGTGCTTGAGCACGATCTTTTCGATGTCGGATCTTCATGTCTTGGACAAACTGCTTTCTCGTGACAACATACCGCACCAACGTTGTACCGAATGGCAGGCTAGGCCTAATCTGCTTCAATAGTCTGATCAGTTTCAGTAGCGGTCGCTTGTATTTTATAGGTTACAACTTAGTACAATATCAGCGAAACTCTTTGCGGTGGCTGCACTTGACAGGAAGAAATACACATTATTAATGAAAACGAGTGTGGCACGTGTAGCGCTCGAATGGCGGTTCGCCGTTCGACTGCAATGTCTTGAAATCGGGTGCATGCCCGTGAAATCGAACGATTGGTCTCTTTCAGTGCGTGGAATTCTGGACATGATTCGACATAGTTTTTTTGTAATGCACTTCAACGAGGCAGTCTGAGAATTAGCCGGCGATTTTCTGCAATGGTGCTTTCTTCTGTTACACCCCCACCCCACCCCCTTCGCATTCATTTCACGGGCAACGTGTATCTTTCGACATTAATTTTCTTTTCACATTTGAAACTGTATATGCTTGTAAGCACCGCGCATCGCATGCTTCGATTCTTGGACACACAAGGCTGCATGCTAAACACGTATTGCGCAAGTGCGGCCATTGAAAAATGTTTTGGTTATAGTGCGGTACTACTTATAGCGAGGATATTCACAACTCCCGCGACTTAAGTTATAAGCGGTCTACACAGTACACGCAGACAAGTCACGAATGGCTTGTAAGCTCCATAGATTTTTCAATTCCTCTATTATTACACTGTGCCATTTGCTCTGTAAATGTTGATATGCCACCCACTGCACGTTCACATGCACCCCAAAAAAAATTAAGTATTCTATTGATGCCACTTTTTAATATGAATTGGTTGTGAAGCAACATGACTGACACATCAATGGCTCCCAACCGGGTTTTGAAATCGCAAAAAAAGCTCATTTCTTTGACAACTTTGATTCAATGTCTGGTCTCCACAAATGCAGATGGCATTCAAAAGGAGAAAACTTCCAATTCAAGAACATTAGGCTGAACGCTACACTCGAACCTCGATATAACGAACTTGGATATAACGAAATATCAGTTATAAAGAAGTATATAAAAAACAGTATTGCAATAAATATAGTGTTAGGAATATACTTAATAACAAACTTTCGGTTATAACAAACCTATTTTACTATAAAATACAACTTCGTTATAAAGAGGTTTGAGTGTATTTAAATAGAGCCCACAAGACTATAGTGGTACAAGTACAGTGGTCAACACACATGTCTAGAACGACTGAGTGTTGCGCTTCAAACAGCATGAGCAATAACTACAGTTCATGACGTGCCACATCTGAGCATGCGCGGTGCCAATGATATGTCAGCCTTGTAGTTTCCAGACTTGTTTATTGTCCCAGCTGCAATAACTACCCCGAGTGTCAGAAGTGCCGTCAACTGTAAAGCGCAGAAAAAGTAGTGCAATCATCCAGATTGCCACCTTTAATACTGTGAACCTGGTCTCAGTTTGTGGTGTCATATCATACCAAGAACGGTTCACATAGTTTTTTTACTCATTTTTTTTTATTTTACGCTAAACTGTTCAGAACACTTTCGATGGCCAAAGCAGTTGTTGCATACGCAGTGAGTGATAAGCAATGATCAAAAAAGCAAAAGAGACACGCTCAGCATGCTCAGAAGCAGCATATTAACGACTACCGATGCTCTCAGGCAGTTCCGAGTGCGACGACCATCATTGTTCTAGACATAAGAGTTGAGCATTGTACAATGTTGATTTTTTACAAGCCTAGCAAAAGCAGCACAAACAAAATCCATACAGCACTACAAGCATGCATTTTCTACTTCATGAATAAATAGCTACAGCTTTAATAAGAGTGTCTTTTAAGGATCTGGTTTTTTATAACCTAAAAACTATTTTAATACTTGTGATTTATTCAAGATTGCTTAAATGCAATGATAGTTCACCTATGTGATTATGTTGCGCCGGAACTTTTCTTGAACTCGGAGCACCTGAAGTGGACACAGAACTGAGATGGAAGCTCAGCGGAGGAGACGCGTCTTCAAGCAGTGTGCTGGTAAGAAATGCTGCACCACCAGGAAAAAAATACAATTATGTGCCTTGTGTATCTAAGAAGCTCTTACAAACTAAGTTCTGGGTTCTTTTTTTTTTAATTTTTAAATATATTACTGGTTTCTTCAGGTTAAATTGCACAATGAAACCTGAAGATTCTACTGCACACATTATGACTGATGATCAAATCACACCACATTCTTTACTGCTTATATGTTTATAAATGTGCTGGATAAAAGTACGACCTCCATATTATCTTATAACTTGTTCACGATTCATTGATGCCTTCCCAACTATTGTATTGGCTGCCTTTCAACACCTGACACAATCTAGTGTTTAGCTCAAACGTTAACTGTTTCATTTCAATCATATTTTTACTTTCTGGTGCTCTTAAAACAAGCAAAGTGGAGTTTTATTTTCCTTTTGTTACAAAAGAAGATTATAAGGCTAAAGGCCTGATGAAGGCCTCTGCTCTCTTGTAAAGTTTCATATTATATAACAGATCAATGAACAAAAAATAACATTGTCAATGGGACATAAAATACTAAATCTCAAGTGTACTGCAAGTGCTACATTACAGCAACTAACAGCGCAATAAACATACTGTGCAAGACATAATTTAGAAGCAATTATGTAGTGTATAGCTAGTATTAAATATACTCTATACCAAACTAAACATTGCTCTAAACTTCATTATTGGGCGTCGCATCTACTTGGCAGTTTTATTTTCGTTTGTCACAATCACTGGCATAGCGAGAGGGGATGATGGTGGTGAGTTTGAACATACTGAAATTTTCTTATTTTGCATGTGTATATATGTCCCATGCACACATCTAAACACATGCACAAACATACATGAAATATGATTGAGCCCCACTTGACCCCCTTGAAAAAAAAAGAAAAAAGACTGGCTGCGCTATTGGTCACAATTAAGTTTTCTGGGCTTGTGTGAATATTCGAATGCTTCAATATTCGGACAAATAATACAATTCGAATTCACTTCGAATCAAATTCAAGTTATTAAAAATTTCTAATTATTCGAAACGAACGAACAATTCCCACATGTAACACCCTGTTCACTGTAGTGGAGGGCTACCAAGCTGCCAAAGCACCTATCTAAGTGTATACGTACTAGTTCACATGTATCTCCCTGTAAAAGTGGTTTCATTCACTGCAGTGAAGTAGTGCTGAGCCACCATGAAAACATGTATCCAGGACAAATCCGCACTACCGCGAAACCACACTTCAAGGTTAAATGAAGATATTACCATCACATTGATTCATATTTTTCAGTATAAAAGCCGATTATACTGAATGATATGCTCTAAGCAGCGCCTCCTCTATTTTTAGATGCCTGTCAGTTCATATGCCGAACAATGAGAGCTCGCGAGACACCACGCTTTGCATGCTTGCCGTGATACGGCGCCACTGGCTGACACTATCGCCGGCCTGTCGTCTGCTCTGGACGAAGGTGCGGTGATGCTTTGGCTAAGCCGTTTTATAGATTTGAAATTCGTGAACAACGCAGTTTTTACGCGATAATGTTAATAAGCTCGAGTAGCAGAAACTACGATGTTTTGTGTCTCGTACGCGGATTTTAGGACTACGACTTTGGGATTGTGCTCAAACTTTGCTTTGTGAAGCTGTCTATATCTTTCATGTATTTGATTGCGGTCATTCTCCAATTTGTTGTAGTGCACGTTTGAAAAATGCCGTGAGGAATTACAACCAAGCTATTGCCCTTTTGATGCAAGAAATAGCGTGGTTGTTGTGATCATGCTTTGGGAAATTGCTAAGGCATGTTTTATTGCAGAATTTTCTAAGAGCTCAATAAAAATTGTTGGTACAGGCAAGTTCTACCTTTTTTCCTCATTCAGTTTTCTTTATTGTTTATTTTAGGTGCTGAAGATGCCCCCCAAAAGTTAACATTGCAATTAACCTAGCTGCCTACTTTAAAAACTGGTGCTTTATTACCAGGAATCTTTTACTAGCACCCAACGTACATGTGCGGCTGGAGGCAAACCTCTCATTTCCCGTAACTAATGCTAATGCTTCTTTATTTCTCTACTTTGAGAGAGACAAAAATATGTACAGTCAACCAAATGATTTCATATGTTTTCTTAGTTCGAAAAAGAATCAGCAGTGACAAAAAACACACACAACACTCTACACTACAATTTGAGAATTTTTCACAACACTGGCTTTTTACCATACATTTTTATCACACAGTTCTTGTCAGTAATGTTCATTGCATGATTACTTAGGAGTGGCTTGATGAACTTCCAGCAGAGAAGTTGAAGAAATTCTTTCTTGTGGGCACAGTCTTCATTCTCGCACTTCAGGCATTGGCGGATCCAGAGGGGGGCGGTAGGGGCGATTGCCCCCCTCCAAATCTTTTAGTGCCCCTCCCCTCAATTCAGTTCTCGTAGTCTACCACCTATCCCCAATTAATTAAGACAAATGAGTGAATTAAACCACTGTGAGCACACATTAACAGTATTTGTGCTATGAAGTGGTTTTTCTGTTAGTAAAAATAAAAAAAGTCATGACCACACCCCCCTTTTCAGAGTTACTTTAGCTGACCTACCCCCGCCTCAAAAATGAGTGGATGGATCCACCCCTGACTTCAGGACAGGGAGGTCCATCGAAATGTTCACAGCATGCTTCACACTGGTCTGCAGTGGCCCTAAAATTTGTTTCTTATAGTCAAGAACGATGTCTACAAAGTTGCTGAGGCTTTTCATCAAAACTCCCACGGTAGGAAAGTAGGGTCACCGTAAACAAAAAGCAGTGACACGGGGAACCACGCTTCACGTATGTGCACGAAAAGCATGGAGACGCAATGCGCGGCTGAGCTGAGCATTGTGTCAGCTGGCAGCGCCACCAGCGCCAGAATAAGGCGAATGGGAGAGAGCAACAGGAGAGAGCTCGCGGGGCCAGCAGCACCCTACCTGACGGGCATCTAAAAATAGAGAAGGGGCTGCTCTAAGTATAGCAAATATTAATACATATTTTACAGGCTATCACTTGCATTCTACCGAAAGTCCAATCCTGCTACTATTCAAAGTTGCTTCCACTTCCTTTCAACCAAAAAGAATGGCACTTGCAGAGGCCTTGTTTCAATTTAAAAATAGATTTTGCGCAGGTTAGTTTGGTGATGACAAATATGCCCCTCTTTCTCTATAACATGTGATTATATATATATATATATACTATTCGAATTTCATTCAAAATTATTTAACCACAATCGCTATTCGCTTCGAACCTAAAATTCATTATTCGCACAAGCCTAACATTTTCATTTGCCCTAGTCAGTATGGCCTCAATGGCATTTTTAACTTAGAGATCTAATAATGCATAACCCTTACTTTGGTAAATAATCTGAGTTTCAAGATCATTTCCTAAGTAACAAACTATTATGCAAAACAGGAGCTTGCTTAGGTGCTGAAAAGCTCCTCTGGCTAATGCCAGCTCTCTAATACATTTATAAGGGTGAGACATCCCCCGCTACGCCACCGATCGCCAAAGAGAGGAAAGAACACTCAACCCTTTTCCTATCCGGTTCCCTCTTGGCTACGTGTCTCAATCACTTTCTACATACAGGGATTCGTGCTGGGGCCGGGAAGTAAGAGACGCTACGCCCTGTTCCTGTTTACTGATTCATTTAATTTAATACTAACTGTAAACATCGTATACCCGCATACATCAACCACGACCCAAAATTATAACACATGATTTAAACACTCGCGACATTCGACAGAGGGCAGGCAGATAAAGAACGTAACTGTAACGACACAAGGGTATGCATATAAAAAAACACACGACGACACAAATGATAAAGTCATTAATTATAAAGCCGCGCAATTTCAATATGCCGCATCCCTTCCCGCAAAGCTCGATTAAGTATGGGAGGTAAAGTTCGTTTCACAGAATGTCCATGTAGTCGGGGCCTCGGAGTTGGCTGCTCAAATCGGGGCCGAAGGTTGGTTGGTTCCGTCGCGGTCTGATCTGTCTCCTTCCGTCGCCGTCTTCATCGTCTTCGTCATCGTCGCCTACGTCGTCCCTCTTAGTGGTTTCCATCTTAGCCTCTCTACCATCTCGAGCTCATCGCATCGTCTCTCTGACTCTCTTCACATCGTATCTCTCTGACCACCTCGTATCGTTTCGTAGTCCCTTTTTGTAGGACCCGACTCCGTCCTACCGGGGCACCAAACCAGTCGCCACTCCACGCGGCATATCTTTTCTTCTCAGTCCGAGTGTATCATCTTCGGCGGCCGCCCCCGCGGCCTACACCAGTAGGAAACCCTCTCCCAAACAAAGCCGAGCAAGTAACAATGTACAAACTCGAGCCTCAGGGAGAGTGATGGGCGAGCCGTCCGAAGACACCTTAATTACGGGCAAATAATGGTCCCGATGCTTCCGGTACTTGGTGAGCCGATGTCCAGACCAAGTCTCAACGTTTCTACGCAGCTCGGTGTCTCTCGCGAAATTCTCCGTAGCCGCCGCTTCTTTGTCATTCACCGCCGCGGGTGGCCATCCCCGCAGAACGCAGTAATGAGCCATGGAGCCATGAAGGCTGACCGAAAGTCATACTGGACCCGGCACAAGCGCTGCGGCCGCGTCGCATTCCCCGAACCAACAAAAGGTGCTCTGCTGCTCCCCCATGCCACAAATCTGAAGGGTGCGCGCCGATTATCTCCACCGTACGCTGTCACACAGTCTGTAGACGACAAGGCGCCGCCCGGTCCTCGTGTTTGCGCGGGGGAGCCCGCGAGAATAGTAGAACTAATCCTTCTGGTACTTCACTCCGGAATGCCCATTCTTTACACCGAAGGTTTTCTTTTTCTTTTTTTTGTGGGTTTGAGAAACGAGCGAAAACATCCCGAAAGGTCCGCGGTTCAGTCCGTGTTTGCGGGGACGTCACAAGGGCAGTTAAATCTGCCCGAGTAATATTTCACTGATGAATACATGAAAACATTAGCTCCAGCCTTATATCTGTGTACTGTGAATGTGC